TGCAGTGTTGAAACAGATTGTTAATGCTTCCATCTGGGTGCTCTTCTTTCCTTGCAAATGGGCTGAACATTGCAGCAATTCATTTATATTTACTGCCTTTTTTCTAAACCTTATCACTAGCTCTCAGATAGCTCAGGAAAAGAAAGCTTATCAAAACTTCAGGGCTGCACAGTGCTGAGAAAGCAGTCAGCACACTAAGACCCTGGCACCTTGTTACATTTGCATCCCTATGGGTTTTCTTTCTGTCTTATCATTTTCAGTTTCTTTAACAAGCAATAGAAAAGAATTGATGATTTGGTGTGGGATACACTAGAGTCACAAAAACTGGAATTGAGACATCTTGACTTCTTAGAAATTGCCATTGGACACAAAAATATGAATGTTTAGAAAGGAGAAAAATGCTTAAATGAACCTATGTAGAGATGATAAAAGATTGCAGTGGGCACATCCTGAGCATTAAGCCTATTTAGTATCCTATTTTTTATAGATAAGCTGTTCTCAATACCTTTTTGCAAATCTAAGTAGTGACACTGTAAGTAATGATTATGGACTACTTCAGTGAATGCACAGAGATAATTTCATTCCTTTGAGTAGCGCCATTGACTACAATGGGACTATTTCCATATGTAAAGTTACCTGGGAGCATAAGTGTGGGCAAGACTGACTCCAGAATATATGCTTTAGCTCTTGCAAAAAAGCTGTTATGTAACAGAAGTATGAAAGCTCTGTGAAGACCACCTGGAGTGGAAGATGAGTTAGGGATTGTCTTGAAAAGTGGGTGTGAAATCTGTATATAATCCAGCATTGCATAGCAAAAGAACTAGAAATGTAAGTGAAGAACTAGTTGTGAAGTGATTCCTTACGTTACTCTCGCAAAAATCTGAGGCTTTCAAAGCACTTTGTGCTTAAGTGAGTGTTGTCTATCCTTTTATAAAGGTACTGTTAAGTGTTGTCATGTGGAGCAGTAAGGTTATGAATGGCTGGTCCAGGACCATACAGTGAAATAAGGAGCATATGCCATTCCTAATACTTGCTCACCGCCCTCTGACCATTAGGAACCGCCTGTCCTAGTGCTCACTATTGGCCATAGGCTGCAGGTTGGTCACTCCTCTGGCTCTGGCCCTTCTACAGAAGCTGTGTCGACCAGTTTTATTTTCTGCCTGGCAGAATGTGGAGGATATGACTGTTTCTAGAAAATATGAATATGTAGTGGGGGAAAAAGGAGACATCCCCTAGTAATAGCTGGACTTTTGTCTTTGTAGACAGTGAAGCTCTTCACAGTCTTTGAAACAGGATACTGTGTTTTCTGTAGTCGCTTATAGTTCTTCCCAAACATTAAGGTATTCTCAGGCCTGGTCCGCAAAGTGTCTTTTGTACTACTGGAAGTGTTCTGACACCTGAGCAAAATTTGTGTATCCCGACTAGTACAGTTGGTGAAACCTTGGACGTGGACACAGCCATACCAGTATGCCAGCACTTCAAACAGACATCAGTTACTTACTCCATTCCCTGGACACGAATGAGACTCTTCTATTTGATTTTTTATTATTTTTTTAATTTTGCAGTATTGCAAGTGGAAACTTCCAATATCGCTTGGAGGGTTTTTCCTTTAAAATCTGCGTGGGGCCAGTGTGGGGAGATAGCGTGTTGCGAGAGTACTTACAAAGTCTCTAAAGCCTTGCCTAGAGAGGTCTCTTGGGCTAGCTGTACCAGAAAACCTTTGCATTGACGCAGGTTGCAGTTTATATATAAGGTTTTTGCCTGGGTTAAATGCTGTCAGCCCCTGAACAAAATCCGTTGCAACAGCATGCAGATTCTTCTGTCATCAAATGCTGCAAATAACTGATGCATAGACCAGGCTTCTGTGTGAGAGGGGAGAGAGAAGCTCCAGAGAGGCCCTCCGTCCGGGTGCCTGTTGTCTGCCCACCGTGTGAATGAATCTGAACCGTAGGTTCAGTCTACCAGCCCTGAATGTGAAGGCAGCTATTTTTTACACGCTAAGCAAAACACTCGGGAGTGGCCTGTTCTGTTTGCCACTAGGTGGCACTTTGGGGACATGGCAGTCACTCGGCTTTATTCGTTCTGCACAGGCTGCCTCACCAGAACTGGTGTGGGTTTGGGGTTTTTTTTTGTTTGGTTGGTTGGTGGTTTTTTTGCTCTTTATTTGTTTTACTGTCCGCCTGCACTGTCCATTTGGTTGCTGAAGTTTCCATACCCGGCTGGGATGGTCCTCACTGTCTTGACAGCAAGGAGTAACGGCCAGCCCCATGGCTCCCACGTCAGCCAGTGGGTATGAGACCCTGTCGTTGTCACAGATGTTGTTAGGCTGCCAGCCACATCTCCACACTCAGCCAGTAAGAAATACATGTTGCGCCACTAAGGACTGTGATACTGGATTGCTGGAAGCTTTTAAGTCTTACCCTTTGGCGTCAGCATCAGCCCTCCGTTTTATATTTGCTTCCACGAGGACACAAAGTTTGCCCTTTTTCCCATTTCAGTTTTCTTCAGTTTAAAATATTATTCTCTCCTCCAATGAGAAATGAGACTTTTTTTTTTCTCCTCCAGGTGCTGTTTCTTATTCTAGTTTCTATTTTCCTGTTTGCTTGTAATTGACATTGTGGAGTACAAGTCTGTTAGTCACTTCTGTATTACTTGGTCAGGCTGGTTCTTGAAAAGTTGCATAAAAATACACAAGATCCATCTCCCTCTTTCATTCTGTGGAGTTAGCTACTGTATTCTTGCCTTGCAGGCAAGGTTTAACGAGCAGAATTTAAATAATGCTCAGGAAGCATCACATAACCTAGTGCCAAGGGGGGTTCCCTGAGCACTAGCTTAGTTTGGGCACCAGAAACTGCCTGGCCAGGTTAGAAGGGGTATCTAGTGCTCCCTGTCCAAGATAGGTCATTCAGAGCTGGCTCTCACTTATCTCTGTCATTACGCTGTGTTTGGCAGCAAAGCTATATCATGAGGTCCTTATATTATACGTATTAGATGGGTCCCTGAAAGACTGTGTTTACTCTTGCTATCCCTAAATGAATGCTTTGTCAAAAGGATGTGTATTGGGACCGAATTTATTGTGTGACTCTATGAGGTATTTGAGCTTTGCTATCCCAAATCATTCACGAAAGCCTCATAGACTTTGCCAGACTACTGTTACTGGTGCTTGGCACCTTGATTTCTTTCAAAGATATAGAAAGTAGCCAGAGAAATCAGGGAATTTATGGGCTATTCAGCTTGCTAACAAAGAAACGCTGTGTTGCATTAAATGCTTTTTTAAAGATCTTTGATTTTTGTGGACAGAAAAGAAGATTGCTTTTTTCCATTTCACTCTCCTGTATGTACCAGAAGTCACTGATTGTGACAGAAGCTCTTCAATCCATGAATCAGTTTCCAGAATTGAAATGCTAATATCCAGTAGGTATTAAAATCCAAATATTTAAAATATTAGTATTCAAAAACTACTGGAAAATTACAGTAGACTTATCTTTTAGCATCAGACAACACTGAAGATGTAGCACAGTTAGAAGAGTGGGAGAGAAATCTTGTCAGCCAAGACATGTTTTCCTCCTCTCCAGAGGAGCTGCACATGCATTTAAAGGAAGATCACAAATCTCGCCCTCTGTGTACATGTTCAACATCATATAGTTGAAGAACAGCAGTAGCCTGACAGAGCTCCTTTTCCCCTGCAGCTTTTTGTTGAGTTCTTATTGTTTGTGTTATGAAAGAAATGGAAGTGGTATAAAAAAAAAAGTCCCTCCTTTTTTAAACATACCAAGTTCTGTACGTTCTGTCATTTTTTTTTAACTTGCAACTAAGCGCTGTGAGTCTTGTGATGGAATTTGATGAGTCTAAGCCACAGGAGATTAGACTCTTCAGTGCATGACAGATTATTATGGCTAAAGTTCTGGCCCCATTAAAGTTCGAATTTTACCTTGCACTTTTTTTTAAGACACAGGCTTTTACTCTGTAGAAATGAGCCATTTTTGAGAAAAGAGCATGGCGGCAGGTTGCCTAGGCTGCTTGGGGGGCCCTTGTTAGCTGGGCTCCGTCCTCACAGAAGTTGGGAGAGAGCAGAAGAGGCAATCTGTGAGGGCTGAGTGTCCTCCACCTCCCCCCTCCTTCCTTCTCCCCCTCTCCCCTTCTTGAAGAGCCCCCAGATACCTTCTCTACAGAAAATGGCCACACCAAGTTTATCGTAGTGTACCCAGGGACAGGTAGGTCCAAATCCTGGTACCCTCCCTTAGCCGAAGTGCTGCACCATGTCCTGGTAAAGCAAACTCCAAAGATACGGGAAGATTTGGAGGCGGGGAAAGAAAAGATCGTACGCTCCATTTTGACTTTCTTCTTTGGCAGACGTATTGGAGGCGGTGTATTTTTTTTTCCTTAAGTGTAGACCCCTGTTTTGAGTCTTCACCTAGGTTTCTGTTTGAAACCTGGTAAGGAAGGAAGGAAGGAAGATTATTTGGCTTCTTTTTTGACCTATACTTTTAGTAACTTTATTATAGTTTTTGGTATAATTCATACTTTCTCACCCCAGCCTTGCATACTTCAAAGGCAGAGGCTTAGTCCAATGAATTTTCATCAATTTCAGGAGATGATAAGGTGACAAGGTGCAACCAAGATCCTTCTAGCTTTTATTCCCCACCCTGCCCCAGGACTTAGTTTTTTCTCTGAGTAGTTAGGCAATAAGGGTAACTCTAGAAGATATCTTTGGCACTAGGTCATTTATATTCAGAGACACAGTTCCTAACATTTCTCAGAAAAAAAAAAAACTTTTCTCTTGTTTTCCTATCACAATAAAAAGAAAGAAAATAGTTTCATTAAAAATCTACCAAAGACATATGTCATCCATTCAGCTGTCACATTGAATCTCTGTTTCCCCCGCTGTTGAATTGTTAAAGTAACTTTTCTTTTGTGTATAATGTTTCCTTTCATTGACTTTATTGTATGTGACTGCTAGTCATTTTCTGGGTGTAGCAATGACTGATTTGTTGTTACAGACAGAGCAAGTATCCGAGGTTGAATTACATCCTCAGATGAATAGACCCCCATCACAGACAGAAGAAAACAGTTCAACAAAAAAGGTAAGACCTGCATATGCTGTTCCATTGTTGAGTGATTTGCCTTCGTCAACAAATGTCGTTGTTTTAGGTTTTAGAGCAATTAAACTGAAGGTTAGGGTTACGTTTGTACATGTTTACCTTCTCTGGAGGTCAAGACACTAGAGAGAACTGGGATCATGTATGACATCAGCTCGGATAAATCATTAAGAAAGCTCTTAGTACATACACATCAATGTATGTGCTTTAAGAACAGCAGCTTGCCATTTGTTTCAAATCAGTAGGGACTCACGGAGCCTTAGGGAAGACAAAAAAGAATTTGATTGCATTTGACCCCTGTTTTACTGTAATTCTTCCAAATTGTGACACACGTCTTGCTTCCAGTTATTAAGGATTCAGTTCTGATCCCATGTAAACACACCTGTTTGTTAGAGGTCAGAATCTGCTATTAAACGTGCATGGAATTTGAGAGACTTCCTCAAATGTTTGCTTAAGACGCACAGTTTCTAATATATTTTTGTATAAACATATAATTTGTATAAATTAATCACTACAATTGCAATGACAGTCTTAGCAGAGCCTCGCTCATGGATGGAGTAGCCTTAAGCAAGCATTTTTCTCGTTCTGCTCATGCTGCCTCTGTCTCCTCCCACCTGCCCCAGCCAAACCAATTTTTAATAGGGGGCGACTGGAGATTGTCCCCAGCCCCTACTGCAGCCAGGGAGCACCTGCAAAATCTTCACTGATGCTCAAGCAAGAAGTGTTGGCAGTGTTACCTTGCCCAGCGAGCATCAGTACACTTCTTGCCGTAATGGGGGGCACAGGCAAACGCGCTACCGTCATTTTCTGTGTACGATAGGGCTTTTCAGGTAACGCCCTAGCTCCACTTGTGTTCACTGCCTGCTACTTCAAGCCTAGCCCCATGTGTTCCTTGCTCTGCTTTGTACTCTTCCTGGGAAAATTAAATTCTTGTGGTCTACCTACTTCATAGTTGCTGTCTTCCCAGCTCACCCTCTAAAACATGGAGAAGCCACAGGATATGGGATGCAGGTTGCAGGTTGTTGGTGCTGTGCTGACTGTGGCCTTCAAAGGGCTGGTGCTACAGCAGTGAGCCCAGAGACCCTGTGGAGGGGTCGGCTTTTAGGAATTGGTATTTCTTCCAGGATTGTGTTTGAAATGGGAGGAAATTAACGCTATGAATTTTGCAGTTTCTTTGGCAGTTTAAGGTCTTCACTTGCCCTACATCATGTATTTACAGAGGGCTTATATGTAGGCATGGGTTTTCTGAGTGCTGTATTATTTGAGATCTGTGCAGTGCTGGTGTGCTGGTATCCTGAGTGAAAGATCTTGTAATGTTTTAAAATTATTTTTAAAGTAATGGTGGAACTGTTAGTAATTTGTTTTTTTTTTAATATCAAAATTCCTTGTCCCTGTACCATTCAAATTCCTCTAATAACTCTAGTCCCTTTAATTCTAACTATTCATGGGTTTATGTTGTTTTCATTCTGTATCATTCATAGTAATCTCTTCTACTGAGTCAGGCGGAATCCTCCTTTTTTTTGTCTTATGATTGTTGGCTCAGTTCAGAGTAGGCCACCTCATTTAATTTCTTCCCATTTTATTAACATTTAGCCAAAATACAGTGAGATAGTCTAGCCCAGCAAAAGGTGCAGTGTGCAAGTGATGATAAAACTTGGGTTCTGTTCTTGACTGTGACACTAAATGCCTTTGTCAAGTCACTCCGTCTTTTTGAGTCTTAGCTTCCTCATTCATGAAATGGGGCAATAATAGTTATATCCCTTATAAAAGAGGTCTTATAACAAAATTCATTGAAAAGTAGCATATTTATACTGCAATATTGAAATAGCTATAAAGTTTTAAACTACTTTCATGGGGGAAAAAAGGCTATCTTAATTTAAAATAGTGAAAGCTCTTCTTACTGTTAAAGGTATAAAATCCTAGACTTTTTGTTTTACCAGTGAGTCACAGTATCTCCTCAATAAACTATCAAGAGAAAAAACTGATCTCCTACACATTCGACATGTTAATTTTGCGTGGATAATTTTATACATGTGTCTTTCTATGCTTCTTTCAGTGGTACTTCATATGAGAGAGCAGGGGAAGAGGAAAGGGAGAATTCATGCCATTGCGTGAGGCATGAAGGCAGGAAATTGATGTGCAAGTGATTGCTTATCGGTTCTTACCAAACATGTACAATTAAAAGTAAATCTTATTTTGGTTTTAATGCTTTTGGGCTAACTGGGAACTAGTGAATGTGTTTGTACTTAGAGCTATTCAGTCCAGTTTTGTGAAGTCTGTAATCCAGATGAAACAAAGCACTAGTACGATAGTTTCATTCATTAAGGGGTTGTAGGAGTTATTGTTTCTTTGAACAAAGTCAGAAAACCCAAGAGGCTTTTACCAAATTTAAATTAAGCTCTGTACCTCTTTAAATTATGAAATCTTAGATTGGACATCAGCAATTTCTGTGTCTTCCCTGGCTTAGTGACTGGACACATATGGCCTGACTTAACCTTGCTGTGCTTGTCCCTTACAGGAGGTCGTGCTCGGTCAGCCACCCTCCAAACCCGTCCGCAGGAAGTTCCGGCCTGAGACACAGGCGCTGGAGAACCCCGAGCTTTCTCCCACGATAAACGTGACTTCTTCCTTGCCGGCAGTTAAGCCTCACCTACCAGTCCAAAAGTAAAAACCCATACCAAGCATGCAAACTGCACCATGAGATCTGATGTAACTGGGGTTGTTTTTTGCACAATTCTTGTGCTTAATAGTTCCGGTTTTGCAAATTCATCGTGAGATACAGGCCTCTCAGGTCTAGGTTTGTCCACTCAGATACAGACCAAGTCTGTACTGACTGTACGTTGGTAATATTCGATTGATGGCTTCTTCAAAATATATGGATTTTTTCCACCGCTCTAGCTAGTAAACATGTCTGGAGACCAAGCCTTGCTGTTCAGACAACATCTCTAACAGAGGTCTCTTTTTAACTGTTTGGGTGTGTGTTTTTACCTTGGACAAGTCTTTTGGAATTTTACTCCTTTGTTTTGACAGACATAATCAGTTAAATGTGCAGGAAATGGAGTCATGAAACGCTCCAGATTGTTTGCTCATATCCTTGTGATATTTCTCCATAGCAGGGAATGCTAGAAATGAGCTCTCCATTGATATGAGCTGAGCCATAGATCCAGTAATTGCCGAACGCAGTGTGTGTTACTGTACTCTCATAAATACAACTGTTGAAGCTGTTATATTTAATTTAATAGCTGTGTGGAAGGGGCTATACTACTGTGGCATGGTAAGTGAAGGCACTTGAAGCCCGGTAGGGCCTATGCCTAACGGAAGCAGCGTGCAGACATTATGGCTTGCCTTCACCCAAAGCCTTTCAAAAACATCTAGCTCAATCTGAAATAAAACTACACTGCCCAAATCAGTCAAGCGCTTCTTGGCAAACTTTATCAGTAGCCTGAATCTGTGCTGCGTAATTGGAGATTAAACTAAATAATAGGACTCCTAGGATGCCCTTTAAGTGCTATTTTGTGCTTTGGGAGTGCATATTCCATAGTGGTTCAAAGAAAGATAACAGCATTTGTTAACTTCTCGACTTAATCCTGTCTTGTCTACATCTTTCCTAAAATGTTTAAATAACTATGGAGATATATCTCTGTGGTTTTTTGCTTTTTTTTCCCCCTATCATTATTACGCTGGAGCCTGTGGATACTCGTTTGAAGCAAAATAGTTATGCAGAAAACTGACAGTTCACTGGAAGGTAATAGCGTAAAGACCAGCCTGTTCTAAGAAATGGAGGTTCTGTTGCGAAGATCACTGCCATCAGCTCTGTTTGGAGACAGAGTTAGCAGGGACTGTACCACTATGGAGTTATATAAGTAGGGCATCTGTTTTACACTATGTTATCATTAAAAAGAGTTGTTCCTGCTTCATGCAAAACTTTAAAATAGCCTATTTAGAACAGGACTTGCTTATTCAGCCAGCGTTTTATGTTTTCTTTCCTTTTTCCTGTTGTTACCTCTGTTTCTTAGAATAAGTTGGTCCTTATGTACTGAAGTATCTCTTTTTCTACCTATCTGCTTAACTGTAATTTGCTTCAAACCACTTACCGTGGGTTATAGAATAATAATAACAGGAAAGAAATCTTTCTTTAAGCAGCAGAAGAGGTGAGGGAAGTCCATAATTCATCTACCTGTTTCTGTTTGTGATATCAGATGGTTTTGTGGCAATACCTGCTTTGAAAAAAAAGATTAATTTTTCAAGTGAAGAAGCAGCAGAATCAGCTGTGCCCTGAAAAATCTAAGACTATTTTCATGCAGATGTCCTTACTTTCCAAATAGAATGATTTTTGTATTTTTTGGTAACCGCTCATGAATCGTTAAACTCTTCTGTTTGAAAAGAGCTAAAGCAGAGATTCTGCAATAAGTACTATGCAAGGATTATTCTTAGGCTGAATCAGACTCCAATGATTTTAAAATAATTGAGACAGCCTAGAATGTTTTTGTCATTCAGCTTAACAAGTCTGATCATTTTACTTTCAAGCAGTCCACCTGATTCTGCCATCTGATTTCAGTGTTATATTTTTGTTCCTTAGATTTGTCGTTGGTACCGTGTCCTTAAAGCGTAGTCCAGTGTGTATAGAGACACAAAATGGATGGTTGGTCTTTTGGCATCAGCTGCTATTGAGACTCCTAATTGAAATGTTTTGTATTTATCTGTCTGGCAGACAGTCTTCCAAGCAGAAAAGGGCTATTCAGACTGCCATACGAAAAAACAAAGAAGCCAATGCTGTGCTAGCCAGGTTGAACAGTGAGCTCCAGCAGCAGCTGAAGGTAAGGAATGCATTGAAAATCACAGTGACAAGGCTCCCGGCAATCAGTTATGTGTCACCTCTAGCAGAGACTCTTGTTCATTTTCTGATGAACAAGAATGCATTTTCTGCATTATTCCCTGCTCTCCAGAAGGGAATAACTAATATTACATGTGGGTAGAATGAGACTTTCTAGGAAGAGCTATAGCCTGTGTGCATACAGCTCTCTTGCCGTGTAGAGTAGGGTTAAAGGATGAACCTTATGCTTCTGAAAAGTTTAGATAGTGAGGTGGTATCACCCAGGGCAGATGAGCAACTCAAGCATAGCTTTCACTTTTTCTGATCGCTTTTGCTGTATAGACATTGACTCCAGGAGTCAGGCATTCAACGTACAACGGTCTGACTGAACCATGCTTTACATGACCATCTAACACTGATTTTTAATGTTGTCTGCTGGCTTGTATTTTAAGGTGTTCTCAACGGGCTACTTTCTTGTAGAGTGCTGTTTTTTTCTGTTGTCCCAAACCAAAGGTAGTACAAACCTTAACTTTTCATCTCCTGCAGCTTCTTCTCCCTTGCATATTATGAACACGCTGGTATTGAAAGAGAGGTGAACTCGTGTGACAGGGCTCTTTCTAAGACTGCTGACATCAGTCCCTGGTCACACATTGTTATTGGGGGTTGGGAGCTAAATACATAATTGGCCACAACACTTTCAGTTCTAAATGGCCTGGAAAAGGGACACTGTGACCAGAACTGGCGTTCTGCTGTCCTACTTAAGCCTGCAATGGTTTGCACTGAGTTGGCCTCTCTTTAGCTGTCCTCTGCATATCCCTCTGTGTCCTGAGAAATTTCTATTCTATATTATTCTTCATTTTCTGTCCCAGTCTCTATCCTTGATACCTCCAGTTACGCTTTTTCTTCAGTTATGATGAAAGTCTGATTCCATGTTCAGCTTTGCTCTAGTGTAATTTCTGAACTGATTTTCAAGGATCTCCCTAGAGTGATGCAAGGTGGATGCTCTGTACTGAAGTCATAGCAAAGTATAGGACAGTGACTGGATTAAGCGTGGGAATGAAAGCTTTTAATGACAACACATTATATTTTACTCAGATTGTCTGTAGTCTTATCTGCCTCCATACGCTATCTTGGATGTGTTACACTCCCGCTGTCATGAAATAGGCCAGTGTTGTTAGCTGTATTTTACAGCAGGATGAAGGAGGCACAGAAGGACTGAGAGATTTGCCCAAGTTCACGCAAGAGCAGCAAACTGAAGTTATCTTTCAAGTCCTGTTGCTGACTGGAAATTTTCTGGTGGAAGAGGGCCTTGCTGGTCTTACGGAAACCAGAAGACTTTATGGAAACACCTCACGCTCAGTGAACTTGCACTGAAGCCTGGGGAGCTTTCCAGGGGAGCCCTGCCTGCTCTTCTGAGGGGACCGGCAGTGCCTGGACTGCCATGGTAGGGCTGTGAACCTGCCCAGATGAGGAGATTAGAGCTTCTAGGAGTCACATGTCAGCCCAGCTCCCCACATGGCCCAGGGAGCCTTTTGACAGGAGGTCAGTGAAAGCCAGGTGCCCTTCAGCACAGGGGCAGCCCAGAGTTTAGGAGAGAGGCTTTCCTGGAAGCACAGGTCCTGAAAGCTTTAGCAGTTTCTGATGGAGACTGAGGTTCTTACTGCTGCAGTTGTCAAAGTAGTAGATTGCAAAGCCTATTTAATTTTAGTGAGGCATAGTCTTGTCATTTCCAAAATGGAAGAGTTTGATTCTATGAACCCAAAATTTTTGCAAAGCAGTTTTGAAGGAAATGTGTTTTCAAAAATAACGTGATTTTCTTTAAGTAAAAATCCCTTCACTGCATCCCAAGCTATGCTGCTGGCCAGTAGATCACTACTCCTCTCCGTTATAACCTGAACAAGCAATTTACCACCATATTATCAAAATATGAAAAGAAGCAGCAGTAGACTGTTGTAAAGGGCAGTTGTCTGGTATTTGTACAATGTTTTGAGACTAGAAGGAGCGTTACATAAACAGTAAAGCCTTAAGTCTCTAGTAAATGCTAGTGGTTTAGCAGACAGCTCTTTACTAATGCAGAGTTGTGCCTCTGAGTGTCAAAAAAGCTACGGTGCATCTCTCTCTCCATGCTCCAGGAAGTTCACAAGGAACGAATTGCCTTGGAAACACAGTTGGAGCAGCTACGTCCTGTAACAGTCTTATGACCTTCGGCGCATTATTCAGTGGCGGAAAGAGAACACTTGCGCCAAGAGTCTTGCAGCAATAGGAGCACAACGCAACTGGGTAAAGTTTTCACCGAGGTGACGGCAGTGGGGAAGAATGGGTTGTCAGGTCTCCTTTGCGCCCTACTACTGTGCATATTGACCTTTGCAGATGAAGAAGGTACAGAAAACAAGTATCAAACTGAAGGATATTTCTGAGCGGGGGATGCTTTACCCTCTTCCCACCTTCTTTCCCGTCTAACATGTAAATGCAGTTTACCACTGAAATGAATAGCCTAAGAGTATTTTATTTATGTAAAGAATTCCTGATTTATATACATTCTTGGAGCACCTCTTGCTGCAATTATTAAGAGGTGCATAATTCCAGAATTCTTGTTTAAAACTCATTCTCTGAGATGGGTTCCTGGATATAACTTATTCCTGTAGGAGTATATCATGGCAGAGTATTTGTGGATTTAAAGTAAAGTCAAAAATAAAACTTACTGGACGTACAGAGTCTTTATCCACGATCACATGTCAGATGATTATTTTCTTAGTACTGTATATTATTCAATCACGAATGTATTTTAATGTTAGAGGAACTGTATTTTATAAGTAACAAATCATATGAAAGAGCAGTAAAAAGTGTTAAAATTTGATTATTTTGGAAATTACAAAAAATATAACTGTTTGCTACTGCCAGTGTTTGATCACTTGCTTGCAGCTGCTAGTGTGCCTATAAACTGTTAGCATGTTTGAGATCGTTGGTTTATTGCTTTCTTGTTTATTTTTAAACCAACAATGTAGTTGTACTAAGAGGTTAAAAACGCATTCTCCTCACTTTTATAAAAGCAAATCTATGTGCATTTGTATTAGTCTGCTTTTTTGTCTTAATAGTTGCTGAATTGTTCTAGCAATGTGTACAAGAACTGTATTTCCAAAAGAAATGAGATTGCACAAGTGCTATATATGTGGTTATAAAATGCTGTGATGGAAGTTGCCTCCTACAACAAGCTATCATTAAGGTTCCTTTTGCACCTCACTGGAGGTGCTACTGATAGGGTGACGCTGCTAATACCCATCAGTTTTCTAAATGAAGAAGCAAAGATTAATTTTTAACCTGGGTCTGATGAAGAGCCAACTGAATTCCATGGGGATTTTTCCATGCCTGCAGTGGTCTTTGGATTAGGTCTCAGTTCTAGTAATGGAAGCCAGCTAACTAATGTTGTTTAATTTCTTGGGCCAATGTTCGTATCAGGCAATTTCATACATAACAATGTCAGCCCTGCTCCCTTCATGGGTATAATGTGTGCTTTATTGCAAGGGAATGTTACCTGCCTGTTATCCACCTTAAACATGATGTTGGATGTGTTTCATACCTATTGTTCAGTGACCTAATTTAAGTGTGTGCATTTGGCTTTCAAAAACTGTGCATTGGTCTTCTTCCGTTTTCAGGATGATGCTTTCTCCATATAGCTATAGGATGGCCCTGGGGGCAGGAAGAAAGGAGAAACAGGTTTGAAATAACTAATGGCTGCACATGGTATATCAAGCAGCCAAAAGTTTTGCTCAGAGATAAATGAGAATGACATCAACATAAATGCCCAAAGAGGTGACTAAACAGACTACTTTTGCTGAAAGGATGTGGGATATAGATCCAGAAATCCAAAGGTGGGAAAAAAAAAAACATTTGCACAATTGTTACTGAAAGTCTATTTTTGTAACATGCTGCTTTTAATCCAGCTAAATATCACTGTCAACAATAATAGCCATTTCTTTGAATTTGGGACTTCTTGTGTGACTTCCGTAGCTTGAGTGAGATGCTCATTCATGGTCCATGACAAAATACTACAATTGTAAACTCTCCCTGCGAGCTGGAAAAGAACTGCTATCCTCTTGCTATTAGTGGTAGTGTTCAGAAGTTAACATAGTTTATTTTTTATGTTCATAACACTGAACCATTACTGAGATTTTAATGAGGTTAAATGTTCTTTGTTTGCTTTTTAGTTCTCACACTGTCATTTGGTTGCGAAATAGCTATTTGATAGGCAATAATTGTGTGGCACTTTTGGTTTTTCTTTTATCTGCGATTTTTGAGGAAGGCTTTTCAACAATTAGAAAGAAATGTTTAAGCTGTGTTTTTAGGGCTGTCAACAGGTTTCCTGTGTTCGATAGGAGCTTCCTCCATTTATTTCACCTGGGTTAGTCATTGAAGAGATGTTGTTCAAAGGAAGAGCTGAAAAGTCTATTTCACATAGCTCTTTTGGATGTCTCACTTGTAAAGTACAGTTATTTTCCATTCACTGTAAGTCAGGATACCTGGATAACCATCAATGAAATGTTTATTCAGCTGTTATTCCAGCGCAGGAGTTAGTAAATTTAAAATTTAATTGTCACTGAGGTTACATTTTTAGGGGTGCAATCAAATGCTCCACTCAGCTTCAAGGCCTGGAATATTAATTGATCTTATATTCTGTTTGGTGTGGTATCAGCTATGATGATGATATATTGCTTTATACAGAAAGGAAAGCAAAATATTCAAGGAGAAATGTTAATGTGTTACATACATGATGCATGAAATCATTCTCCTTTAGGTCTCAGTACTTCAGCAATCGTGATATTCCATGTAAAATGAAAAAATGACTCTTGTTTTGGGGGTTTGTTATTATTTTGAGAGGGAGAGGAGAAGGCATAATGAAGTTATAGACATTGCTTCTGGCAGCCAGTTGCTCAGCACAGCCATGCCCATGGCTACTATTAACATACCCTGTCTGGTCAAAATTCACATCGAAGTCCAGTGCTACCGAAATTCGCAAAAAATATTTTTCCGTTGGAAAAATGGGGGTTCAGAGGAGTCATCACTTCTTGCAGAAACATTTACGTGATGAAGCTTTGGATGAGAGATGCTCCTAGACCCAAGACAAAACAACTGGTCAAAAGGGAAGATCTCACAGCCGATTTTTTTTTTTTTTTATGTCTAAGGCACTTTTTTGGGCTACAGGAGAGCAATGAGCTTTCAAGACCTTGGTCTGCCTGACCTGGAACAAGAACAGGAACCTGCCTGTCCCAGCTTGCAGCCCTACTGGGTCGAGAGCACCTTCTCGCCTATTGGGGCTCACTCTTCAGTTCACTGGTTCTGAAGGTATTTACACAGAGCAGAGGACTGCAGCAAGGGAGGCTGCCTGGGAACAGGAGCTAAAACACGGCTTCCTCGAACCTGACAAGGTGCACTGACCCCTAGGCTGGCCGTGTCCGTCGCCTGCTGCCCCTTTCTAAATCTTCACTTTTCTACAGCTCTCCTAGTTTGGACAATTAAATATTTTTGTCCCCAGGACAAGACAAGGCAGAGCAGGGTCTTAAACAGGCTCTTCGACATCCCAGATAAGGATCCTCTTTAGCTGGGGTATGTGCATGTATGTAAGTGTGTACTCATTTGTCTTTCTTTTGATCATGCATTTCTTTGTGGACTCGTTCATGTTTGTTTCACGTAATACCTTTCTATGAAATACTTGTTTCAATACATGGTAATTCACTGGTGAAAAAAGGAAAAATGTCAAACTGAGTATAGTGATTGTTGCCTTTGTAAATGAAAGATTAATTGAGCCTTTAAATATAAACAATGACTTAGTATTAAGCAAGGTGAACAGTTTCCATTTCAGAGGCATCAGTTTAAACAAACTGCCTACTACAAACATCAGTCCTTAATAATTAGGAGGAGGATGTTGATCACTAAATTAATACTAGGATGAAGTGAAAATATTATCATCTTTCAGAGAGTTCTCTCTCACGTGGCTGACATAGCAAAAATGTGAGTCATCAGTGAATACAGCCCTAAAAGTGGCATGTTGACCAATAGCTTTTTAACTCAAAAGATTATCTCCCAACTGTTTTTGTGTGCACAGCAGTAGTTTTGCTGCTGGGAACTCTTTTGCTACATCAGGGAGAGGAACTTGTTCAACTTTCATCCAGACATTAAGAGCGTGATGCTATCAGGGCTAACCAGCACAGGGAGAGGATGACTTGTCTTGTGAAACAATCCCAAAGGGACAGCTGAGACTTGGAGCTCTTCACAGAAAGCTTTTAGGATTGACATAATGTGGAAATTAACTTTCCCTGGTGTATAAACTGCTTTTCTCCCAGCTGAGCTCCCAGACTGGGAGAACGAGTCTGTAAAAGTTCCTAGCCAGAGTATGAGGAGTGTCAGTTTTCCACCACCATCAGCCCTTTAGCCTTCAGCACACATAGTCCTTGACAAGGAACTTCATGGTGTTATGAAACCATAGGAAAAGAAGGAAAAGAGGTCCTAATGAAGCCATGTGTTTTTTTTGACTAAAGTGAAAACGTACTTTTTCAGGGAAATAAAACACAAATGATGTAGTCCCCTTGAGAAGAAATTGCATATTTTGAAGCTTTGTTCAGTTATCTTCATGATAATGTCCTGTGAACATATATGTTATGTTTTACTCTGATAGTGATTTTTTTTTGAGAAGAAAAATGGTATTGCAAGCATTATCCTTGTTAATCTAAAAAATACCCTGAGGCTACTAAATATTTGAATTTTAACTTACAAAGTAGATAGCCAGATTTAAGGAATTTGTTTTCACAGCTGCAGAATGTCCATATGGTAAGCTGCAAAATGTATAGCGTTCTATACTATGCCCATCCAATTTTGGAAAATGTATGTGATATGAAACTGGGTGCTACATTAAAATAAAAGTGTCCAATAGCTTCAAATTGCCCTGCTTTTGTCGTTTATTTAGGATGCCAGTTGTACAAATCTAATACAAGAGTAGCAACTGTGACTTGCTACAGAAGAAGTATGGGTTTGAAAAGACTGACCTTCAACTCTAAAATTTAGATGAAATCACTTACATTGAGATTGTGTGCATGCGAGAGAGACAGAGACTTATTTAAACTGAAATCTTGCCTCCTTAGATTTCAGTTACGTTGAGACTTCATCTTTACTTTCTCAGGCCTCCCTTTGTCAGAATTCAGACCTGACTTTCATGATAACACCCTTTTCCAGCGTGAACAGTATCAACGTGAAGGAATAGTTCTTCTAGAGGGTGGTTTGGGGGGCGTCCAGACAGGAGCAGCGAGAGGAGTCAAGTAAGTCCCCACTAGCGCTCACTCCTAGTCGCAGCGTTGTCTCTCCCTCAGGCTGCCAAAAGAATCTGTTGGATCCTTCGGAGTGCAGCATGGCCCATCAACTGCAAGAGTTAAGGAAAAGTAAAGCATGTTTGAAGATCTGTCCTTTATGCTCAGGGAGCTGGAGGGAACGGTGTATTTCTTCTACTCTTCAACTACAGCGATTTTTTAAGAATTATATCACTGCTATCCAAAGAGCAGGGTTTTAAAAGAGGAAATAATTAGTGATAAATTAATTCTTACAGCATTAAGCCATGACAAGGGATGTTTTATTGGCCTAAAAGTACGTCTCTGGTGCACGTGAGGCACAAAGCCAAGGCGCTAAAAACTTGTAAATATACTGTAGGGAGCTATTCTGCATTGGCAGCAGGATGGATTTAGATGACTCTTCTATTCTTAATTTTTACAATTAAATGGTACTCTGGGGTGCCTTCATGCAATTCTAGATTGGCTCTCCATGTTTAAATTCATGATTCCAATAATCTTTGTTAATAAAAGATGCTCCTTCCCACTCTAGAAAAATAGTTCTTAGTGCAAATGGAACAGGAAAGAAAGAAGCTTCAAAACACCTTTTTATCTCTCTACTGTTTTGAGATAGAGCTACTTTACAAGCTTTTCCTTTTTCTATAGCAGTTTTTGCTGGTAGAGTTCCACTCCTTCCCTCTTACTCTCCTTGAAATGTTTTGCCCCCTTTCAGCATACCACGTGGGCTGATCCCACAGGTTCTCCCTCCGTCAATGGTGCCTCTGCACCTAGAGAGACTGGATGCTCACGTGGCTTCTGCAGCCAAGCAGAATAAGACAAAACAATAAAGTCCCTTGCTATCCATAGCCCATAGCTGGGCCGGAGCTTTTTCACCTAGTGGTCCTCTGCATCATCACTCCTCCTGTTCAGCCTTCCCTGCCAGCCTCATGGGCACTGCAGACCTTCAAACAAATGCCCTTTGGAGGGAAAGACCTTGGGCATTTAAGATCAGATTGCAGTAGACTTTCAACTCCCCAGTATTCCCTCAGTGCGCACCAGTTTGGATACATGTCTGGAAGCAGTGAAATTAACTGCGTCCCAGCTGTTATCCCAGTAGTGCTCGGTGATTAATGCCAGATCTGTATTCCCAGTGAAATCCTGAATTGATTTACATTTATTGATTGCTAACTTAAATAGCATGAGCTAGGAAGAATGTCTTATCTGTGAACATTTTGAGGATGCTTTATGCATCAGAAATGTGATGGGCCAGACAAGATCAAGGCTGTGTATTGCATCTAGTCTGGTTTTTGAAGGAGGGAGAGAGGAAGAGGTGGAATTCTTTCTTCAGCTAGGCTGCTCCCACACATCGCAGTAAAGGCCTTTTTTTTTTTACTTCGTGTCCTTGGTTCATATAAGGAACTTACCCATCGTTGTGCTGTGGTCTTCACTGGTACAAAGATATAGTAGCTGGTTAGTGTGCGGGTAAAAACACCAAATTTCATGCTGCCACGTGGGCCCTCTGCCAGGACGTCCTCACCATATGAAGAAGAGCAGTAGTGGAATAGTGATAGTGTGTCCGGCCACATGACAGGAAGTAACCTTCAGGGATGGGCAAGGAGAAAAGAGAAAAAGGAAGAACTATGTCAGCTCTCCGGTACTGGTAGGATGAGGGTGGAAGGAAAACATGAATGTGGAAAAGTTGATGTAATGGTGCTTCTGAGGTAGCAGAAAAGCCGCTGCACGTCCACTGTCTTGTTCTACCTCCACACAAAGGGATAACGTGCTTTAAAAAGCTCTGCTGAATACCTCACTTGGAGGAGGTTTATCCGTAGGACTGCCACTTGAGATGATAAAAATTATTTTGTTCCAAGGTCTTTTAAACAATTAGGTAGTTCATGCTGTCTGTCACAGATTTGTGGTACGTTAGGTCAGTGATACTTGCCTTCAGCAGGCTGATACAGAGCTTGCATTGTTTCCTATAATTTCCACGTTCCTATCTAAGAGAGAAAGGCAAGCACATGATCTCACCTGTGTCTTGTTTCACAGATCTGTGCTTTTCCTAAAGGACACTAAACCCTCAATGAAAAATAATGGCTTCCTGTTTCATTGATGAATTCTTACAGTAATTTCCCTTTACAGTAATCACCCTGGGTCATTGAAGTGTGCGTTTTCAAAAGTGACTAGCGCTTGGGGGGGAACCTTACTGTGAGATACCATTCTACACCAAAAGAAAAGCAACTCCCTTTAGGGTATCTCAGATTGGGCACTAAAGAAAGCGAGGCTTCAGTCACTTGAAGCTATCAGCCAAAATGTTCCCTAGGATTAAAAGAGCGCTCCCTGGAAAAAGTTTGTTTCCGGTGTTTTGTACCATACCAGATGGCAAAAAAGAGCTGTTGCTCTGATTGCTTTCCAAATACTAAAACAATTGTGTTATTTGAAAGTTGTGTTATTTAAAGCAGTAATTTAAACTGCTGTTGCAGGTAGATCGTGCTCCAGTTAGAGCTGCTCCACTGGCCATTAAATGCATGTGGTGCTGCTTCAAAGCATGAGTGAGCAACAAACAGGTATTTGTGTCAGATGTGGCATGCCAAAGGGCCAGCGCAGGAGCTCAGGAGCTGAGAGAGACACAGACCAGCAATGTCTTCCTCTTGCTCGGGTATGCTCTAATCTGAGGAAGAAAAATACAGTTTGGCTTTCCCCATCTGAGCTATAAAGTTAACTTTTTATGCATTTGTCACTCACCCGTGCTTTCTTACTCTTCCTTCGTGTTTCATTCATTGGTTTGGTTTTTGAATTTATTGTGCATCCTGCAGTTGCTGTGAGGCAAGGAGGTGGCCAGGCCTGCACGGGATCTCACATTGTGCTCGGTACCATAACCTAAACATCAGAGCCTAAGCGTGGGACATCTCTGGAATGGAAATAATTAATAATGATGGTTTAGCCACAGAAACGAAGGTGCTGTTATGTAGAGGCTTGTTCTTGCGTGAACTGAAAAGACTGAACAGAATAGAGATGCTCGTTGGCCATCCCTGCTTGCAACTCATAGCCTGGGAGACTCAAGCCTGCTTTTGCTCTCTTGTACAAAGTGTTTGGTTGCATTTATGATTCTGTTCTGGTTTGGGAGGTGACTTTGGCTGAGGAGGCAGGAGGTGATTAAATGTCGAGTGGCTTCTTGATTAAGTATTGGGTGGGTTGAGTTAATCTGGGCCATTCATTGTAGACTTCCAGCTTTGCAAGTGTGTATGGGAACCGTCTGACAGAGCCTGCACTGAGCTCAGACTCGTAAGTATAGAAACATGGGGGTGCTTGATAGAGTTTGGGAGAAGTTATAGAAATAATATTTGAGAATAATAACAATACTAATGCAGAATATGCAGAACTGTTGCTCCAGATTGGGCCCTCTAATCTAGTATGTCACTCTGACATTGGGCAGTATCAAAAAGTTTCGGAAGCGACAGGAAGAACCATGAAGTTGGCAAAAATGGTACAATAAATAAGCCTTTGATGACCACCACCTTGGCCAATACATTGGTATTTCTTCCAGCATCTCTGGGACTTAAAGCATAAACTGCTACAGTCTGCTAAAGGCCTACATTTGCTTCACTTTTGACCGTGGCAATTTCTGTCTTCTCTAAACTGACAGAGAAATACCTGTAATACACGCTCAGCAGTATAAATTCTATACAAATGTGTTTGCAGAAGTTTCTGCTTTACTTTCCATTTGCTATTGATTATTTGATATATACAT